ATAAAAGATCAAAATCTGAAACTTTCTCGTCTTCTCCACTTTCCTACCCATCATTGTCAACTTCAACAAAATTCTTGTAAACTATCTAATAAGCGATCCTCCATTATAAACTTTGGTGTTGTATATAAGTAAGAAGGTTTATGCAACTTTTCTATGCATCGTTAGTATTAATATGAATAATATTTTCCTCCTCCTCTTCCTCCTCTTCTTTAGTTATGTTTTATAGCTTCATCAAACCAAATTGCTAGAGTTCTTCTAATTGTGGCCAATTTGCTTGACGATTCTTTTTAAATTGAGAAAAGAACTTCTTTTTTTGGACGAAGGTGCAGAGGTTGAAATTATGATTTTTAATAATTCATTGTCTAATTAACCAATTAGTCATATTAATCAACGTTTTATTTTTTCAATTTTTTCAGAAGTGATCAAATCTTTTTGATTGGTTCTCTCGTTATATTGACATGTCATTATAACGGGTGTCAATATTAAAAAATTATTTTTGACAAATTATGTCATTATACTATATAGTATAACAGGATAAATAGTGAGTGTCATTATAACGGACATAAATTTGTATTTATAAATTTGGTTTTTTAAAAAAATGTCATTATAACAAATGTCATTATATATACATAACCAATTCATTCACAACTATGAAAATTAAAACATCAACAAAATGCTGGGCTATTTTTTCTATGTTTTTCATGCATTTGTCATCTTATTCATCTTATAAGACATGGATGAATTGATGTATCTTTTTACCGTTCGATGATTTACTCTGAAAAAACCTCCTCCCTTTTTTATATATAAAAATTTCAATCCAATCGGGAGATTTAGATTCATGTGAAATCAATTTCCTAATCTAGTTTCCACATAATTAAAAATAAAAAATTTTGTGGCGCAAATATTATTATTATGTAATTTGTTTCGAAGCCAATTAGTATTACTCTACTTTTTTGGACGTGATCTATACCTTTTAAAGCAAGGAAGCTCTGCACTGAATTTCTGTGTAGCGTACAAAACAAAAGTGGCAACAACAATATCAAAAGTGGCAACGGTAATGGCAATGGTAAAACAAATAAAAAGAATATAAAAAATAAGGATGATGGTACTAATTATAAAAATAAAAATTATCAGGGTTATAATAGTTCAATATCTTCAATATCAAAAAATCCCCGCAGCAAGACCGCAAAGAACGATAATAATGTTCTTCCCAACAATAATCTTTTTCCCACCAAAAATAATATTCGCGCTAACAACAATAACAACGACAATAGTAATATTTCTCAACAATCAAAACTATTAAATCATCAAAATATCGAAAAAGAAAAAGAAGAAAAGATTCGAAATAAAAAACATTTACAACAACCAATTAATATTAATAACGAAAGTGTAATGAATGAAATTACAAGATTGCCAACAGCCTATGCTCCAAGGGCACGTGTCCTGTATGATGATAATAAAAGATCAAAATCTGAAACTTTCTCGTCTTCTCCACTTTCCTACCCATCATTGTCAACTTCAACAAAATTCTTGAAACCAACACAAACAAAATCATTTGTAACAATAAAATCTTTAAACTCTTCATCAGAGACATCACCTAGTAACAAGGCAAATAATAATCATCTATCAATAGACGAAAGTCATTATGAATCATCTCAAAACTCCTCTCAAACTATAGTTCTTAATTTATGTGACTACTATACCGATGATAATAATACTATTGACAATCGTCATTCTAAAGGCAACTATATTGATAGTTATTATCATAATAGCAATTATAGTGGGAATGCTGAACAAGCAGAAGATCATCACAATCACGACAATGACACTAATAATAATGAAAATGATAATAAGATTAAGATTGATGTTGATGAATCCCCTCCCGTTAATATTAAACCAACATCTTCTAAACTTAAAAAGAATTCTTATGATAATTATTCACCACCATTGAAACCACTGTCGCCACCGCCACAATCAACAACACTGCTGCTGTCACCGCCTCCTTCAACTTTACAAAATAACGAACCATCATCATCATCGTCAACATCAACATCAACCGTAATAAGACCTAAAATTTTCTCGATATCTGATTCTTTTAAAACATTAGCTTCTCCACCACCGTCATCGTCAACATCAACATCAACCATAATAAGACCTAAAAATTTCTCGATATCTGATTCTTTTAAAACGTTAACATCCTCATCACCATCATCACATTCAAGACTTAATTCTTGGTTAACTAGTAGCCCTAATAAAAACGACAACGTCAACAATGATAAATTTTTAACACTTAACCAAAATACCGATGGTAATATTGCTAGTAGTGATAGTACTCCGACAAACAATTGTTATACAAATAATGATATTTATGACAATTATATTTATAGTGAAGATGAGAATAACTATAATTATAATAATCGTGAAAATTTCTTTATTAATCAAAGGAAAAATACGACCGCTATTCCTCCTGCTGCTGATTCTACACATCAAAGGAATTTACAAATCGTTACTCAAACTCTCGATTCATCAACACCACCACAAACGCCATTAACGCCACGGCAAGCTCAACTACAGCCATTCCAAATTAATTCTATTGCTGATAATAATAACAATAATAATAGTAATAATAGAAATAGTGGATATGTTGAATATGGTGAATCTGATGTTTCTAATCACTCCAGTTATCTTTGTAGTGATGAAGAAAGTGTTTATTATAGTAAAACTGATTCCGTCAGCATTGATCCTCATTTGTATGATAAAAGTAACACAAATAGTATTTATTACAGTAATGATGAAGATGTTGATAAGGATAATAGCGAAGAAGATAACCATGGTGATGATGTTGATGATGATGATTATGTTGTTCAAAATATAATAAATACAACAGTTCTAATTGATAATGCCAGTAAAAAAATATCTCGAGTAGAATTAATTAAAGAATCAGAACATGAATATGAACACAAGTATGGTGAAGATTATAAAGGAGGTGATCATAATGAAGAAGAAATAGTTTTTGATAGTCGTAACTATGACAATGACAGCGAGATAAAAATATTGGTAGAAGATAATGACTTTAATCAAAGTAGAATATCAGATTCACCAATTGAATTACCAAAACTTCCTAAAATTCTTGTTAACAAGAATTTAAGTATAAATTTTGAAAGATTCAGTTTATTTAGAAATGCTCCGGGATGTATAGATAAAGATGGCTATTACTATGATGATAACAATCGCAACCTTAACGGTAATGGTGATAGTAATAATCGTGTGACCAACGTTTATCTTTAAACCTGGACGCAGATAATCAATAATATGAAGGTTTTTTTGTACTAATATTTCTCGGGAGTTGAAAATCTTTATATAAACTATTTAAAGGCGCCGGCGTTTACGTTTTTCACATTTTAAATTATATTAGTTTAATTGATTTAACCATTAATTCCCACATATATTTCATAAACCATTCATTTATTCGTTTATTATAATATTATTATTAGTTATAATATAAATTGTATGTTAAAGTGTATTTGAAATATAAAAAAATAATAGTTAAAAATTTTATAAATAAATTGGTTTACGAATTAATAGTAATAGAAATTGATCTGGATATTTTTGTCAAGGATTCAAATATAATAAAATCAAATACGTGAATGAGTATTTTTTCAAAAGATAAAAATATTATGAGGAACACCAACAGATATAATAATATAATGCTTAATCATTCATGGTGTCAATCATGCGGTCCAAAGCTATTAACTGAAACTGAAGGATGGACTATGGCAATGAAACAATACATGATTTGATTAAAGATAAAAATATGGAAGTCTCCAAAATTATTTAACAAAAGATTTTAAAAGTTAACATGGACAAGGAAATTATGATCCTTTATGATATTATTTCTGGATTCATGAACAAAAAATTGTTCATGTTTTCACAGTGGTAATATAAAGGTAGTAATTTTACTATGTTACATATTGTAGATTTTCTATCAATTCCAGCTAATATATGGAGTACTGCCATATCTAGCACCAGAAATTTTAAACAATAAACCATATACAATGGCATCAGATATAATTGGTGTATTGATGTCTGTATTATCAACTAGCAAACGGCCCTTTAGTAATTTATTGCATGATTTAGGTCTTGCAATTAAGATATATCCTGGGCTCTCAAACAATGTTCCAAGTTCTTTATTGCATTAGCCTATAAATATATGGATGCTAATCCAGTTAAATGTCTATCTGCTTGAATATTATTTCATTTTAGCCTAGGTCATCTAATAAGGGATTTATAAACATCAATATGGAAATAAGTATTATAAATACAAATTGAACTAGCAGAATTAATTCAATATTGAAATTATACATCCAAATGCTGTTTATACCAGTAGATTCACAAAGCTTCCAATTATTAATTATTAAATATCAATTATTTTAATTATACATATGCTATTATTCTTATAGTAAATGTTATTTAGATTCTGGTCAAATTGATTTAGATACTCTAGATGAGACGTCTAGTCCATTACCATTAATAAAATACTAACTACAGTCAAACCTCGTTATAACGAAATGTAACCTAAAGACCTCCTATTGCTGTGCCATGTAAAATCATTTATTAGGCAGGTATTGGTCGGTAGATACTTATACTTCCTATAGGCAATATCCTTTTTTCACGTGACTGAAGGACACGTGAAAAACATATTGACCTATAGGTATCTACCGACCAATGCCTGATAATAAGAACGTATTTTTCCGCAAAAAAACATCACAAATTTGCGCAGCATCATGAAATATCCAATTTTACTGGTGGGTTGGGTGCGTGTTATCCTTATTTAGAAATTGATTTGGCGATTTTTGCGGAAAAATACATGATTATGGCCAAAAATATTAATATAGAATTTACCGAACCAACCATATATAGCAGAAAATTTTACATTGAACGCACATAAATGTCTCGCAATTATACAATTAAAAAAAAAAAGATATGGAAATAACTTTAAACAAAAATAAACATCAAAATGATATTTCTCTTGACACAAATGATAAAGATGAATATTCAAATAAAAGAGAGGAAATATATGGTGAATGTCCATCCTGTAATAGATATAATACTTGGCTTTCATGGTGTCAATCATGCGACCCAAAGTTATTAACTGAAGGATGGACTAGTGGTAATGAAACAATAGATGAGTTGATTAAAGATGCACAGCTTAAAACAACAACATATGAAAATTCAAATTATCTTCAATGGGTTACTTACAATGATTTAAAAGATATTGAAAAGATCTGCGAAGGTGGATTTGCAACTATATACAAAGCTACTTGGATAAACGGTGAAAAGTATATAGAATATGTATGTCAAGAAAGATATAACCATTGCATTAAAAAAATTACATAATTCACAAAATATTTCTGATGAATTTCTTAATGAAGTAAATTATTTTATTATTATTGTTTTCAAATTTTTTCCATTATTAGTGATGAAATTTTATTTTATTTTTTATAGTTCAAAAATTATGTTAAATTTCATGATAAAGAAAATGTAATTCGAATTTAAGGCTTAACACAAGATCCAAATACAAGAGAATATATATTTATAATGCAATATATAAAAGATGGAAGTCTTCAACATCATTTAACAAATGAATTTAAAAATTTAAAATGGAAAGACAAAGTTGCGGCCCTTTATAGTATTATTTCTGGGTTAAGGGATATTCATTCTCTAAAAATTGTTCATCATGATTTTCATAGTGGTAATATTCTTCTAAAAAAAGCTAGTAGTTATAACGATTCATATATTACAGATTTTGGGTTATCAATCCCAGCTAATCAAACATCATCAAACAAAAATAATGTATATGGAGTACTGCCATATGTAGCACCAGAGGTATTAAGAAAAAAACCATATACAGAGGCATCAGATATATATAGTTTTGGTGTATTGATGTCAGTAGTATCAAATGGCCAACAACCTTTCAGCAATTTAGCACATGGTTTAGATCTTGCTATGAAAATATGTGAAGGTTTAAGGCCAGAATTCTCAAACAATACTCCAAAATTCTATATTGAACTAGCATTCAGATGCATGGATGCTAATCCAGATAAACGTCCAACTGCTAAAGAAATCAAAGACATTATTTTGTTTTAGAGGAATTCATTTGTGGATGATTGTATAAATAATCGTAATTATGAATATGGGATTAAATGGCATTGCTATTCTAAAGAGCAGTTTTATGAATTAAAATCAGCTAGAAAAGAATTTGATGAAATGGATAAAATTACATTAATCCTTTGATAGCAAATGCTCTTCCTCAACCTGTAAATTCAAATAGAGTCACAACTATTAGTAACTATAATGGTGATTATTAAGATAATCATTAACTATTTTAATAATTTTAAATTTAATGTTATATATACTAATATTTATTCTTATAAAGATTGTGTATATTCTCAACAAATTGAATTAACTATTCCAGATGAATAGTTATGTAAAAGTAAAACTTTTTAATTGTATTATTATATATGAATGGAAGTTTATCATAATACCACATAAAATTACAACATTATGAACTTGTTATCATTTCTAATAGTAATATTACAATTAACTTTAAATACCATCATCTTGAGAACTATTTACTTTGACAGTAAAGAAAAATATCAGGGAAATTTTATAAATTCTTTATTAATTTTATTTTTTTAGATTAAATGAAAGACATGAATATTAGTTAAAATTGTTTTGCAGACTTATAAAGCAGTTAAAAAAGACACATAATAATTTTGGAAGTTATATGACCATTTAAAAAGCTCTTGCCATTAATGACTTTTAGATCATTGATAATTGTCATAGTTACGACTATCAAAAACTATTTCTTCTTCATTATGATCACCTCCTTTATAATCTTCACCA